AGCCGCGAAAAAATCCGCAATAATTATGCATCAACCTAATATTTTGTAGTGTACTGAACGAAAAGTTCGCTGTCAAACGGATTGAAACAATTTTATCTTTAAAAGATCAGAAATCGAATAAATACGCACATCTCATCTATTAACAAGTGATATGACATAGAACATCTCAAGTGAAATCCATGGGCTATTTACAAACAACAATCAATCAATAAATCCGATCGAATGCGATGAGGCAGCAAAGACAGTATTTAAAAAGTGTGTATGGATCTATAAATGGTTGACATGAATGAGAGAGTTTATAAAACTATTCACAGAGAGGATGACGAGCCAGAAAACGGAAGACGACGAGACCGGTTTACTGTAAGCAACAAAGTACGGGAGCACCAGCGCTGTATGGGAACACACTCGACGAAAGTTGACATAGAATTTTTTAGTGAGCAAAATTCAAAAAGAAAAAAAATCAGCCCGTGATTAAATAGAACCACCGCGGACAGGGACACTTGCTTAATATCAATACAGTAATAAATCCTATAAAGAATATCTACTTAAATGGAATTGAACCAAACAAAAAGAAGTTACAATTATTAGTGAATTATTCAATTATTGTTTTATCGTCAGACTTTCGTCTCAGGACCTATACTTTCAGAACTTGATTGAAATGAGTCACGTAGTCGAATCATCTGCCGTGCGATGATATTACCGTACACCTTATTGTACCAAGAAGGACATCGACCTCTATAAATGAAAAGTTTATAAAGTTTTCGCAGCAGTTTTATCTGTACTTCTTCAGATTGACAGAATCGCTTGGAAAAAGGGAAATCAATAGCAACAATTAGTAGTAAACATTAACAAATATTAATGCTTTTTGGCAGTGGTTCTACACGTGCACGCTATCTGCTAACTCTAACCAGTTATCCTGCGCAAGTCAGCGCAGCAGGCTTCTTCAAGTTTTCAAAAACACGCCTCCAATTGACATTGGGATACTATGCGGAATAATAGGCCGAAAAAAAGATCAGTCGACTATAAGAGTGGCATTCATATGCGTGGTTCCCGTTTGCGAGCCATCCATCCCCTAATTCCATTAAGAACCATAGCCGATATAGATACATGCTAATGCTTTTATATTCCCCTGCGAGTCTGGTATCAATTACATTAGTCGGAGCGATGGGAGGCCTCGCAGGTCCCCAGGGGGTCTAGGATTCGATCCCCGAATCTAGTAAGTGATAGTGCACTCTTTGCTATTACTCCAGTCCAGCCCATGATACAGTAATGGAAATAAATTCGAAGGCCATAGGGAACTTCGAAGGGATTCTGCAAGCGCGCTCATGTCTCCTCATCGAGGTAGGCAATGGAGTAAGTCTTGCAGCATAATATGAACCTCGACTATGGTGGGCATTTGGCAAGTATAAATGCTTCTTCCAAAATAGAATAAAGGCGTTCACCTCCCAAACGTACCCCTCACAGAGTTGGGATGGAAAATCTGGCTGGTGTGTACGGATAGCAGATTGTCTATTCATTCAGGATTTGACTCCTAGACCCTACTTTTGGCATTGGTGCCTTCTAATGCTACCCCACCTCTAGTGAATAACTTAGGCACATTACTGATGCGTAGGAAATGCCATTCTTCATTAATGCATGAAAAATTCTAAACGATGACAAAATCACTTCAGAATCTGGAAGAGAACCCAGTAGATGAGATAGAACAGCACCCATAAATTTACCTGAGATCAACTCTGGAGAGATAGGTGACTCTTGAGTGCCCAGCTTTAGGTTCAATCAGGAATCGACTATCCAGCACAGCAGCTGAGATTCCTCCTAGTAATTGTGTTTCGTTGCATTGCACACTTCGTTCAGCGATGACACAAGCTCCGCGGATTTCAGAAAGATCTGCACGATGGAATCTGAAATACATCTCTTTTGAGTTGTTCTGTTTCAAACACCTCCGTTCTTAGTCGTCGCCCGTGCGTCACCGGAAAATTGAAGTTCTAGGCCCAACGGGCGAACATAAGAAGCCCCGAGGAAGAGCTGGGCCGGCGTGATCAAGAAGAACTTACGCCAAAATCGTGGTGAGAGCAAAAGGTGCTGTAGATAAAACGAATAGGCGATGGCTAACAAGAGCAGTGCGCTAGGGACGAAGCGGGATGGAAGTTTGGAAGACGGCATTGAACTGATGTTATGTTTTGAGGGGACTACCCACCTGATAATCCGCTAGCATTCGTATAATGTGTAGGTACATTAACCAAAATGAACATATACAGGTTTGATTTTTGACCTAAGCTATAGGCTTTGCCTAAATTCGCCCTAGTGATGTCCTCTGGGTGTGGTGCGGTAGGAACGAAATGGTCGCGTCGCGGTGAGAGGGGCGTCGCGCGCGANGAAGAACGCTAGAGACGTAATAACGGCGAATGAGTGGTCCGCGACAGCCGCGTGCGGCAAACCGATTACCCAAAATCGGTCCTAACGCCCGTCTCCCATATCCTCTACCTTCATACAACACAACGTTTACTAGTTCGATGAGCCAACTCGGAAAAGATTGTACAATAAACACCTAGTTCGCGCAGTTTCCAGTACAAGATTACTACATGGGGACAATTACTTGTCATGAGAAAAAGGTAACAGAACCAAACGGTTTCCCTCTCGATTTATCCCATCATCGCGCCGTACAAATTGCGGGTTATGAAGTGCATCCCATCAATGCTAAAAATGTCAATGATACTTACCGAACCACAAAACAATCTCGAGTTGGATGTCCAACGGTGTCGTTAAGTACATACTGGTGCAAATCGGTATCTGGGACGTGTAGAACGTCGATTGTTCGCCAGTTCACAACGGAGGTGTCCCACACGTTCCTGTAAAGGCAATAGCGTAATCTCAGAAATTGAACGAAAATCTGTTATTGATCACGATTTATCACCAACTATCTAGAATATTCATTCGTTTGCAAGGCAAACCCGCTCACCACTACACTGCCTTCATTGATTGATATCTACTCTAGGTAGCAAAGAAAAAGGTAACTTGATACTTCCGACATTGTGATTTGTACAGGTAATCTATGAAGTTTGAATGGAGTTGAATATGCCCAATTCCCATCAGAAGAAGCAATAAGCTTTGGTGATACCTTTCGCGCATGATCCGATTCATAACTTGTTTCGGTGGAGCGGCCACATCGATCCACACGCGGAACAGTTTTAATGGATGGCAGTCGTTTGGTATTTTACATGAGATCTCTACATCTTCGTGTGTTCCATCAAATATCCAACCCTTCCAACGTTCAGAGTGCTCCTGAAATCGGAAAAATTTTTCAGCTGAGTCGCTATCCTCAAGTAGATATCAGATGTTTTAAGCGATTTCTTTTGATTTTTGATGCACCAGTTCGCAAGCGTTTCCAGTTATTTGCTTTACTGGTGGAGAATAACTTCAGTGATGCAGATTGCCATGGAAGAAATTACTGGAATTCCTGGCCCGCTTGACGGTCTAACAGTTCCCTCTAACCGAAACCACACTCGAGACCGAATACAACTGCTGTAGTGCCTTCCCACAAGCTCAACTACACACCAAAAATCTTGTTCCTAGAACTGGGGGAATCTTACATGGCCAATTAGGGTAGGAAAGACCAATTCTTAACAACCCTTCTCCACCAGCCCATACTTCGATTTCTTCGAAAAAAAAAAGCTTAAACTGAAGCATTGTCTCCAGCACTGATTGCAAGAACCAGGGAGGATCCAATATTTCGAGTTGGCCCTATTTTGAATCAGGGGGACCTCATCAGAATAGCGATATTTCATGGCGAAGTCGTTGCCAAATCGGGATCAAACGAGCGTTGAGAAATCACCTCGTCGGGAGGAGTGGGGAATGTAAGTGAACTGATTTGGGAGTTCCTGACTATCAAACCCGTTTCTATGCTTGGCTCCGCTTCTACTATGTCACTTTCCTTCAACGAACCCACAAAATTCAGGATATCTGGGATAGCCGGTATAAATCAGAACACTGTGAATTCATTACATTGTTCAACCTGCGAAGCGACTGATATCACTGGAGAAACTGGTGGATTAAAATCCGGTGCATTGGAAAGTGCACATGAAAAGTTACGTAGTTCTCACAGTGGGAGTGGAAATCGTCCCCCAGTTTCCGGTTGTCCTCCTAATTTCTGACATCCTAATTCCAGATTTATGGCTTTGCAGTCGTAATGCTCTTCTCATTTTCAGTAATTATCCACTACATTCTCTCATCCGATTTCAATCCATTTTTTTACCTATAGCTATTCTGCTGGGCATAAATACCTTTCAACCAGGACCAGATTCAACAGAGCTTCTTTTTTTATTTTCTACTACCTATTTTATTCGCCCACATTACGTTTAGGTATAACACCTTTCTAACGAACCTTAACCAGATCCAATACTTTGTCGATTAAATAGGCTCGTGGACCGTTTAACCCAAGTTCTTTGAGCAAAGGTGCGTCATTGTCGGATTGAACTCTATAAACAGCGTTCTCATCAAAATCTACCAATACGGTAATCGGTGTCCTGTCCATTACCTGTCGTCTGGGCTCGTTTCCGCGGCTACAAATACACTTCGGCAGTTTTGTATCAGGAAAGTAAGGCACTGTTGAGCGGCTTTTGTCTCCCGCATTTCGCGTTCCGTAGGCATTCCAGCTGCTCCGATGGTTTTATGCCGCCTGTAAAGTGTTCATTGAAGCAAAGCTATGAGCTACACCGAATAATTAGGTATTACCTTGTCGGTGTGATTTTGTCAAGACGGGAAGCGCTCAGATGAAATAGCGAGGGAGTGAAGCAGACAGCTAGGTTTTGTGCTGGCATCTGAAACGTTGAGGCTGAGCCATGAATCTTTGACCACAGTTACAAATTGGTAATTCAATTTTTTTTACTGGATAGTATCTAAACTTGTAACTCGTCCACCAATCAAAGCTGAGGTCTTTTGAATGCAATGGGCCCGATTATCGATAATGGTTAGTAAAAAGGTATCCAGCGAACTTACACTATTATTTTCTGCGTGCTTAGACACATCGCTGAGGAATAGCAGTAAGGTCTGGAGTGCTTCGCGATTCTCATCAGGCAGCAGGAGAATAGCATACTGTAGCGCCAGCATTCTGAAATGTTCCTGTGAGGTTTACATTTAAATATGAGAAATAGAAACGGATTCGCCTTTGATAAAACACAGGCTAAGGACCTGACCAGTCACAGTATAAGGATAAAAGGATAAAGTTTCTGGTGTCAATCAATCCCGTCTGAGGGATGCGCCCCCGCACTCGGCTTCCATTCAGAATCGTATAGGCGTAATGAATGCGTATGTGGCCTATACAATGGCTTGCGATGGCCAGTCAATGTGCAAGTAAGTGCCTCTATCCTTCCAGAAGAGTCTGGTACCAATTAACCAATCCAGGAGGGATGGAAGGCTTGGATGGCCTAGGCGGGCATCCGGGTTTCGAACCCCTGACCGTGCGTGTGATATGGTGCGCCACTTGCCACTACACCACTTCCAACCTAGTTGCAGCGCGCTTAGCAATAAAGGATAGAAATGAATTACCTCTCATTTTCGGGCACATGGATGAAAATGTTGGCGAATGTCTCCGATAATCGTGCAGTCATAAGCGGCTCGGGCAACTCTCTCAGATACTGCTTCAACATATCTGCTACATCGTGCACCTGAATTCCATTTCATCAATCTCCATTTAAGATATTAACACTCTCTAAGAAAATGGCCTCAAAAGGATGAAATCATCAGAATTAAAAACAGAAGAGGCTATTGATAGATGTTTCACTAACCTGTCCCGGATCAAGTCGATTTTCATCAATGAACACATCTACGTCTGAGTCCCGATCACAAATCCCTCGCACTTCGAGAATTCGTGACTTGACACCATTTTTTCGGAAGATACCTACGGTATCCGGTGACATTTGACGGAGATAACGCAACACCTGCAAGTTCATCCATGAGGACGAGAAATCCTGTGACTGTGACCAGACAAGATTGCAGGAGAACGTGCTGGTGCAACTAATTTGAACGCGCAATTCGCGATAAAAATGGTTCTGAAATTTCTCACTAGAATGAATCTTTCGCCCCCAAGTATAGTACATGCGCCGTTGTCGAGCCGAAAAACGGCTCATAAAGGGCCTTATAAAAGCTCCAAAATCGGTTTGGCTGACGCAGACACTCAAGCAGATGGCCATGTTACCGCGGGCTTGTTATCCCGGCACTATTCACAGGAGAAACGAATAGTACGCTTATGTGAGAGACACCCAGACACTCGTACACACAAAGACAGACTCGTACAACCCCCCCCCCCCCCCCCTCCTTTGCTACTTTAAAGTCTTATATTTTTTAGAATCCGACAATTTTCGCGTTCCAAACCTAGAAACTCACCTCCAGAATAGTCCGTGGGAGGCATAAGCCTGATCGCCTTTGAATTACTGCCAGAGGTTGACCAAACACTGCTACCACTTCAATTTCTGAACAAATTCATGTTGAGCTAGACAATGAAAAGATTCCTGAAAGTGAAAAACAATTCTTCGACCTCTCCCAGTCTTCCCATCCATTTGCTTGATCTTTTTAAGAAACTTTTGTACTGTCCAATTCTTGGCGATACCATTTTGTGTTGGTGATAAGTCTGAACGCCGATTAGTGAATGTCTTTTGTCGAAAGGACTGCAGCCTTATCTTCTACGGAAATCCTTGTGTCCCACGAAGAAAAGCCAAAACCAACCTCCTATCTTCACCGTACTACCCGGACCCATATGTTTTTCTAGAATTGCTGTCACACGAAGGTAAGCGAGTTTGCTAAGACGAGCCTGTAAAGAATCACTTCTAAAGTCAACAGTCGATTTTCGTTCGGTTGGAGACAGCTAGACTACTGTGCCTTCTTATATGGGAGTGCCACAAGAAGGCAATTCACAGAGAAGCACAGAACCCTATGCGACCCGGCTTCCAACAAGCTTCTCACAAATTACTGCCTTCGAGTAATTGGTACTCTAATTGTAAGACAGGAAATAACCCATAAGAAATGAGGATACTCGTTAAAAAAGAGATAAAGATCGATTCTGAACTCACTAGTTCTAAGACGCTCAGTGAGTCGATACATCGAGCCAATTGTACATCAGTGAAGAAGGCGTCATCCGAAGAGCAGCTTAAATAGACGACGATGAAAAACGCAATTTATTTTTTAAGGAATTTTGTGAAGCAGGATAGATTTTGTCAGACCATGTGATTGAGGTGACCCTCTTGAAAGCATAAAACTGATTCAAGTGAATGATTGCCTCGGTCCCTTACCAGGAAACATTAACACGTTGGCGACCTTGCGTCCCGATGCCAGGACGCACGTTTTTGGCTCGCTGGGGCATTTATATTATTTATCAGATGTTCCCATAATTTTTTCATACTTTCATGTATCAGCTGAGCTCCTTCTAGAGAATCTTGAAGCATCGCGGTCCAGGAATCATTCATTTCTAACTACAGATATAAGANAAAATAAAGGTTACTGTAAGGACAACATTAAAGAGCGGTCGTCAATGGGTTAAACCCTGCCGCTTTAGAGGTGGAAATCCACGATATTCGATGAAATAAGTAGTTTTGTTTGGTAAGTTGTGCATGAATGCAAAAAATAACAAAAGGACTAATAATTATTTGGATGCTCATTTGATCTCCTCACCGTACAGCCGGTAAATATTTTTATCAACAACTCCGGCAGCCGACCAACTTACCCCAGAAGCGATAAAATCTTCTTTTCTATGAAATTGATATCCTGATTCCCGCTATTCCTTTATTCCACCCTTCCTAGAGGAATTTCTTGACAATTGATATTTGTCGTCTGTACTAGACAGCCTGCCCCGACAGTGGTCTGAGCGTTTCCACATGGTTAACCCTTTCTTTCACCTTTTTGTTAACTACTGCGAAATAAAATGAAAGAAATCGCTGACCTTGACATAATCGAAGAGGACATGAGACTTCTATCGGCCGCACGTCGTTTATTTTGCAATGATCCAGCATGACTTGTGTTCATTAAAAACGAATATGAATTTATTGAATAAGGCAGTATTGATTGACGTAGCCGTTGAGATGATGGCCCACTGCAACAGAAACCATGGGAGGATAGTTGATGGTTGAGAAACACGATTCAATACTAATATTTAGCGGATACTGAGCAATACATAAAAATCTTCAACAATTCCGTAATCTAGACGGTAAGAGTGTCGATAGTAAGGAGTAAGAAAAGAAAGGCAGGAATTACCTGGGCGATCTGGATAGGCTGGATCCCACTCCAGAATCCCGCCGATTGTGGTTCATGGTTGTGGTTCCGGATGATTGCTCTTCATCCGTATTGTCCAAGCTTGATTCACTCTGAACTGCTAAAGTCAACCTTTACAACAAACTTCCCAATCCAACTCAAGAGCTGCTCTACCTATACTTGGGAGAAGCTCTTTGAAATTATTCTATCCAATAAAGTCTATCCCTTCAGAAACCGGAACTAGATGGGCACTCTACGTCAACGGTATGCTTAAATTCGATGGGCAAGATAGTTGGAATTTTGCCAACTAGTGGGAAATGTTAGGCGAGAGTAAGATGCCGTAACTTTGTGGGCAGAGCTCTTCAGAAATGACCTACAAAGCAACCCCAAGAAAAGGTTGGGGCTAGCTACCACCAGCTAAAAGCAGTAATAGCTGCATTCATTACCCACGTGATAACAACATAAATCGATAAATTGATTGACTAATCAATACCTTGATCGCTTGAGTGTCAACACGTAATTGTGGAACCCCGCTTGACGTCGAGGGTGATTCAGAACGAGGTGGACGTACACGAGATAGCGACGTGTCCGGTGAGACATCTGATAACAAATCGTATGACATTACAAAAATTTCAAAATATTTAAAATTCTCCTGAGAAACGTATCATAAATTATTTTTGAGTAAAAATTCAACAATTTAGTATTAATCATGCGAAGAAGTAAAAGGTTAGTAGTAAAGGAGCACAACAATGATCACCATGCATAAAATAGCCATCCGATTGTATGACAAGATTTCTTGCTGGCACTGGTGGTGACTGATATGAACGAGTACTGTAGGGACTACTGTAGACGGGTGACGAATATCCGCCACTTCCATAGTATGGCGATACACCACCATCGTAGGTGGCTGCTACAGCTTGTTGTAAAGCACGACGATTTAAACGTGATGGTGGCGCAGCATTTCTGAAAGCACGACGCACTACAGTACTTCCCCATCAGACGCTCTCTTTCTACATTCATCATTACCCACGTGATAACAACATAAATCGATAAATTGATTGACTAATCAATACCTTGATCGCTTGAGTGTCAACACGTAATTGTGGAACCCCGCTTGACGTCGAGGGTGATTCAGAACGAGGTGGACGTACACGAGATAGCGACGTGTCCGGTGAGACATCTGATAACAAATCGTATGACATTACAAAAATTTCAAAATATTTAAAATTCTCCTGAGAAACGTATCATAAATTATTTTTGAGTAAAAATTCAACAATTTAGTATTAATCATGCGAAGAAGTAAAAGGTTAGTAGTAAAGGAGCACAACAATGATCACCATGCATAAAATAGCCATCCGATTGTATGACAAGATTTCTTGCTGGCACTGGTGGTGACTGATATGAACGAGTACTGTAGGGACTACTGTAGACGGGTGACGAATATCCGCCACTTCCATAGTATGGCGATACACCACCATCGTAGGTGGCTGCTACAGCTTGTTGTAAAGCACGACGATTTAAACGTGATGGTGGCGCAGCATTTCTGAAAGCACGACGCACTACAGTACTTCCCCATCAGACGCTCTCTTTCTACATTCATGTGAATATTGAAAAGCTTGAAAAAGCATTGAATGCCTCATAAGTTGTTCATACTATTCCATTGTGGGACATCTCACTACCGTACTTGAAGTAGGCTGTACAGTATCCCGCACCCAGTGCCTAGTAGGAATTCTAGCCCTGAAGCACCAGGTTCGTAAGCAAGGGAGGGGGGGGGGG